CATGGGATATGCCATTAGAGTCAAATAACTCTTCAAACAATTAATTCTCAAACTCATCACCATGATCACTCCTGACTCTAATAATCTTAGAATCAAACTCATTTTGCACTTTAGAACATAAACTAGTAAACACAGAATGTGACACATCCTCGTGCCTTAGGAATTTTACCCATGTCCATCGACTGCAATCATCCATAATGACAAGTTCATACTTATTACCATTGGCTGACGTTGTTTTTACAGAACCAAATAAGTCAATATGTAGAAACTCCAAAGGTCTAGAGGTGGAAACAACATTTTTAGATTTAAAAGATGTTTTGGAAAACTTTCCTTTCTGACATGCTTCACAAAGAGCATCTGAAATAAACTTCAGCTTAGGCAGGCCTCTGAATAACTCAAGTTTATTTAGCTGAGGAATTCTCCTCATACTAATATGACCTAAGCGTCTATTCCACACCCACTGCTCTTCGTTAACAGACATTAAGCATTTAACATCTTGGTTTTTAAGATCATAAAGCTTAATCTTGTAAATGTTATTTTTCCTTATACCAGTGAAGAGAACTGTGCCATCTTTCTAACTTATAGTTTTGCATGTTTGTTGATTAAAGATAATGTCATAATCGTTATCACTTAATTGACTTATGGTTAACAAGTTATGCGTAAGACCCTCAACAAAAAGTACATTAGATATAGAAGGAAGAGATATGTTACCAAATGTTCCAGATCCTTTGATTCTTCCTTTCTGGTTTCCTCAGAAACCAACGAATCCAACATCTTTAAGTTCCAGGCTTTGGAACATATGCCTTCTTCCCGTCATGTGTCGCGAGCATCCAGAGTCCAGGTACCATGACTGGTGTCTTAACTTTGCTGCATAGCATATCTACAACATAAACTATCTTATCTTTTGGTACCCATAATCTTTTGGGTCCTCTTTGATTAGTTTTCCTAGATTTTATATTTTTTTGGGTTTTCATGCAGTATTAAATCTTTGTGTCTATGTAGGTGTGTAATCATTAAAAAAAGAGATTTTGGTTTTTCTTCTCTGAGAGGGATTTGATTATCATTTTCAGAATCATAAACAATTCCTCTCTTCCCATTGCTGCTGACACCATAGATCATTGAAGCCATTTTGCTTTTATCTATGCTATCATTCAAAAATTCCTGAAATTCTTTATCATATTTGCATATGATGGTTTCAGAAGATGGAGAAGCTTTAGAGATAGTTTCTTCAAGTTTTAAACATTTTGTATTTAGAAAAATATTTTCTTTTTCCAAAACTAAATTATCATCTTTTTGTGTAGAACTTTCTTTCTCAAACTTAACACATTCTTCAACCACAAATTCATGATCCTTTTTTAGGTTCTTGAATTTTCGTTGAAGCTTCTGATATCTATTCAACGTTTTAGATAAACAAGAATCTAAATCAGTATGAGAGAGTTTAGAAAATACCTCTTCTGAGTCATACTCAGTTTATGTTGTGTCTCTTGTAGATGCCATGAGTTCTACATTGGCATGCTCTTCTTCAAAATCAGATTCTGATACTTCAGAGTCAGAATCATACCATGTTGCCATGGGACCTTTCTTCTTACCTTTGGATGCATCTTTCTTAAAACTTTCTTTTCTAGAGCTTTCCTTCTTTAACTTTGGACACACATTTCTATAGTGTCCTGACTCCTTGCATTTATAGCATGTTACCTCTTTTCCTGTTTTCCTCTTGAAGGTGAATCTGGACGATCACTTCTGTTTTTAGATCTTCTAAATTTATTTTTCATTTCTCTCTAGAGTTATTTGACTCTTCTAGAAAGAAGTGATCGTTCATCTTCATCATCAGAACATTCTTCGTCCGAATATTCTGTTTCTTCTTCCTCTGCTTGGAAGGCTTTAGTCTTTTCTGACTTCTTCCATTCTGATTTAGACCTTAGAGCGGCTGATTTTCCCTTTTTCTGAGGCTCATCTTCCTCTAATTTTATCTCATGTCTTCCTAGTGAACTGACTAGTTCTTCCAGGCTTATGGAGTTCAGATCCTTATATAGCTTAAGAGTTATGACCATAGGTCTCCATTTTTTGGGAATACTTCTAACTATCTTTTAGACATGATCAGCCCTAGAATAGCCTTTATCTAGAACTTTGAGTCCTGCAGCTAGAGTTTGAAATCTTGAGAACATAGTCGCAATGGTTTCATCATCATCCATTTAGAAAGCTTCATATTTTTAGACCAAGGCCATAGATTTGGTTTCCTTGACTTAAGTGTTTCCTTCATGTTTCATTTTCAAGGAATAAAAAATGTCTTTTGTTGTGTCTCTATTGGTAATTTTTTCGTATTTATTATATGATATAGAATTTACGAGAATGGTTCTAGCTTTGTGATGATTTTTGAATTCACGCTTTTGATCATGACTCGTTCTATTTCAAAGAATGGGAGTACCAATCGCAGAAACAGGAATCTCATAGCCATGTATGACAAGATCCCAAATATCAACATCATAGCCTAGAAAGAAACTTTCTAGTTTATCTTTCCAATAGTCAAATTTTTATCCATAAAAAATAGGAGGCTTGGCATTATAACTATCACTTTCATTCGTGTTAGCAGCGACCATAATGTTTTTCTCACACTGCACCTCTATACAGGGTTAATTGTTTAATTTATAGATCAATAACAAATCCGGAGCTCGGATACAAACTAAAGGTGGAGAAAAACACAAGAAATAGGGTTTGAATTGGATTGTTACAAAAGTAAACTTTTTCGACCTTTTACACAAAAGTTGTCAAGAGAATGAAGATAAAGAGCCACAAATATTTTTATCCTGGTTCATTGTTAACAAAGTTCCTGCAGTCCACCCACCAAAGTGATTTCGCCTTCAAAAAGAACTTAATTCACTAATCTTGAAAGATTACAACAAGTTCGTCTAATTGTTTAGAAAAACACATTATCCCTCTCAAGTCTACAAACTAACACTTAGTAACTTGAGGAAAAATAACTTCAAAGAAGATATAGAAATATGTTTACAATAATGCTTCTATAAAGTAAATGAAACAATATTAAGAATAAGGTTTTTACACAAATATGAGCAGTAACTCTTGGGTATAGATTTTAGACTGTGCATGTTTCTCTTCTTTTTGGTGTAGATCATTGTATATTGTAAGAAGGAGTGATCTCTTTTTATAGCTAGATATTTGAACCTTGAGGGGTACAATCGTAACTATTTAAGCTAGTTGTTGTAACGATAACATTGGACCCGTGAGACACAGTAGTAGCAAATTCTCACCATAATCCATACAGCAGTACTGACTAAAAATCAGTTTATACCAATATAGGAATGTCTACATGTATGGATACTTTCATCACACGTTTTTGTCTTGTCAATATCTTCGGATCAGCTTTATCTGATAAGACCAAAGGATGAAGGATTGAGTGATATCAGAGTCTTCAGTTTCTTTAAAATATTTAGAAGTGTTGTCTTCAGAATCTTTAGAACACGTTCATCAGAAGCATGTCTTCAGGGTCTTTAGATCATTTTGTCAGAGCTGGAAGCGGAACTTTTTCTTAGAAGCACAAATCTTTCTTTTTCTTTAGAGGTATTCAACATTCATCAAAACTGCTGATGTTTCTTTAGAAAAACATGAAGTAGATTTCTTGAGGCATGCAAGAGATTCTGATTTATAATACTTAAGAGTTATCCAAAATCAGGTTTCACTAAACAATTGCATACTTTAAGAAATTCATTAGAGTACATAATTGTTACATAAAAATCATATTTATTGTTATCATCAAAATTAGAGATTTTATGTAGAACCAAAATCTTGTTCTAACACAAAACAATAGCTACTCTAGGACTGTGGTTGTTTATAACCTTCAACAAGAAGAAAGCCTACATTCCAAATCCTAACTCTGAAAAAGGAAGAAAGTGTAGAATCTAGAAACCAGTAAAACAAGATTACTGGTACAGGGAAAATTGGAGTCCTTTTTTATTGAACTGGTGCTTCAGACTCTTGATTATATCTCTAAAGTTTATTCAGTATTTTTTAGAAGTCTGAGAAGGCTTCTGGTGGTGATCACAAGAGCATTATTAGAACAAATATAGTTCCTATTGGACAATCTCAAAAGTTGATACTACAAAAAGTGAGGTAATTCTACTTCTATCAGTTTGACAAAGAATCTTACTCTATATCAGAGTCTGATGATGTCCAGAAACTACCTTGATTAAAAAAAAGTTCTAAATCAGCTTCTAATGAATATATATAGCCTCTGGAGCATCTTAGCCTTTGATGTTATGAATAATATTAATTGCCTCTGATATGCACACAGTTGAACATCCTTTGGTAACTACCTTTGGCATTTGTCCTCTTACGTGTCATAATTTTGAAACTTCTTTTGACATGTGAGTTATAACTATTGAGTAAAAACTCACATGTTCTTGGTTATTTGCATTTACTTATATGTTTCTTGTTGCATTTATGGTGCATGTTATTTGAAATTCCTTTTTCACTCAAAAATACTCGATTTATATCAGAAACACACACTTCACTATCTCACTACCTGTTGTCACACCCTCATTTTCACCCTAACCCTAGTCTTGCATATCATATCATTTTCATCAACTATGCATCCCATTAGGTCATAATCAATCATGTGTTTCATTGAGCTCTTAAGGCATGGGGTCAAGAGGTTCTTTGAATCAGGGTTCTTATTTGCTTTGAGGTACCTTCATTCATGTTTGAAGCAAGGGTTAATATCTGATCATCATGAAGCAAATAAATCTTTTTACTTAAATATTTTTTTCTTTTATTTTTATTACATTTTAAAAATATAATGCACGTCATCTTTAAAAAGCTTTTATGTTTAATTGCTTAATTTTTACCCACTGAACATTTTTCATTGAGAATTGTCCAAAGTTTTCTCATACCAGATCCCACCGTTCAGCACACTACAACCCAAAATCGAACATCCCTGCGTTCTTCTATTCCTCTCTGAAATCCAAAATCACTGAATTAAAGAGAACATGAAGTTCACAGACTCGCCGGTAATCGAACTTCCCGTCGCCAACGACGTTCTCTCTCTCCACCAAAACAATGGCTCCATGCACGTCGGAACCTCCGTCTGGCCTTGCTCTCTCGTCCTCGTCAAATTCGTCGACCGCTGGATCCATTCCCCGCCCGACAACAACCCTTACACCCACCTCCTAAACTTCCAAACCAAGCGCGCCGTCGAACTCGGCTGCGGATGCGGCGTCGCCGGTATGGGCCTTTACCTATTAGGCCTAACAGACATAGTCCTCACCGACATCTCTCCCGTGATGCCTGCACTCAAGAAGAATCTCAAAGTGAACAAACCTGTCCTCAAGAAGAATCTCAAATACTCGGTTCTTTACTGGAATAATGATTCTCAGATCAATGCTCTTAATCCTCCGTTTGATTTTGTTATTGCGGCTGATGTTGTGTACATTGAGGAGTCAGTTCCTTCGTTTGTTTCTGCCATGGAATCGTTGCTGGCTGAAGACGGTGTCGTTTTGCTTGGTTATCAGATTAGGTCACCTGAGGCTCATGCGCTTTTTTGGGAAATGTGTGGTCGAGTTTTTGAGATTGAAAAAGTTCCTCATGAGCATCTTCATCCTGAATATGCCTACGAGGAAGCTGATATTTATCTGTTGAGGAAAAAGAAGAAGCAATGATGATGGTAAGGTTTTAAGTTCTGTTAGACAATTTTGCAATTCATGTTGCATTACAACAAATTTGTGTTTTTAATATTCTTGTTATTTAGTATGCAAAACAACATGTTGTAATGATTTTTGCTTTGGCCTATGGAATTTAAGTTGAGATTGGTATAAGACCTACGATGTTGTACACGACAAAACGTTGAACGGTTAAGAATTAACATGAGGATAAAGTATGTATAGCAGAAATGAGAATTTTGCATTGGATGTGTGGTAAGACTAGAAATGGCAATATTAGAAAGAATGTTGAAGTAACACCTATAGTTGATGGTTTGAGCATATAGAGAAAATCTGTAGATTCTGTGGTAGTGAGAGTAGATCAGATGGAGAGAAGTCAAACAACTAGAAATAGAGAAAGACCTAGAAAAACTAAAGAGAATGTATTAAGAAAGATCTTGAAATTAGCGATTTGGATAAAAGTATAGTCCTGGATAAAACATTATGGTGAAAGTTGCTCCATGTAGTTGATCCCACTTGTGAGATATAGTTGATGGTTTGAGCATATAGAGAAAATCTGTAGATTCTGTGGTAGTGAGAGTAGATCAGATGGAGAGAAGTCAAACAACTAGAAATAGAGAAAGACCTAGAAAAACTAAAGAGAATGTATTAAGAAAGATCTTGAAATTAGCGATTTGGATAAAAGTATAGTCCTGGATAAAACATTATGGTGAAAGTTGCTCCATGTAGTTGATCCCACTTGTGAGATAAAGTTTGGTTGTTGTTGTTGTTGTATCTGCTATTTGTCACCATTTTATACCCGATAATAGTGTATTAGGGAAATAGTGATTTGTTCACATTAGACTAAGCTATTGCCGCTAGTTAACAAATATTGTAATGATTTGATTAATCAAGTGATCTAAAACATCTTCTATTTTGGAGTAAATATATGCATTCAGTTTTTAAAAAAATGTTAGCTCTGTTGTTTTAGTTTCTAATGTACAGATTTTCGGGAAAAGTTATAGCTAATTTATTACATTATTAGGGTAAACTTGTTAGCTTATTTTATACATGATAATGACTTTTGAAATAAAGAAACATGGTTGTATTTTGGGACACAAATTGCATGTCTTGGCTTGATTGATCTTTTGATAATAAGTCATGTAGTTAGCAGAGATATGAATTGTGGTTTTGCTTTAATTAGTTATAGATAGGTGCCATAATATATAAGAGACAAAAGGAAAAATCGCTGTATTAAGACTGAACTGAGACCTGTACTGAGATGGTAACAGATCGTGAGGAACAAATTGCAGAACAGCAAATGGTCCTAAGTAATTTGAGGTTGTCCACTCTCTCCCTAAAGTCCCAACTAATTCCAGACTCAGCTGAAACACACACCAGACATCCACTCTCCCTACTGTTAACTGAGTAGTTAGTTGCATAATGCTTGGTGGAAAACACCTCGTTTTCTCTGTTTTGAATGTTTGTTTGTTCACGACTGCCTGCATCGCACCATTTTTTTTCATGCCGATCTTATGCATTGTGGAAATCACCTTGTTTTCTCTGTGGCACATTACAACATCTGTAGCGTAGTGGATTGTGAACAAATTACTATTTTTCCAATGTGCAACACTGCAGTGTAGTATAGGTATGATGTGCAGCTCCATGAATACAAATAATGTATCTATATATTTCCTGATTATTTTCACCTTATTCTTAATTCAGAATTAAAATTCCTTTTGAAAACTATTCTAAAGCAAAATCATTTTGTTCTTTAATTTTTCTAGGGCCTTGAGAAACTTTCTGTGGAGAAATGTTGAAGCTAACAGGTGTGCCTGTGTTCATGTTTGTTTACGACCATCAGAATGATTCCCAGCAAGAGGTCCATGAAAACTCGAGAGACACGTGTTTCCGCATGCTTGCTGCTGACATGGTTTTGGGCTTTAGGATTCCTTATTATGGTTGTTGAAGAAAAGTGTTATGATACAAATTTTCATGTCCAATATTTGTTAGGCCCAATATGCAAAATAATTATAGTTGTTAGGCCCAATATAAACACATGTATGATCAAAACATATTTATAGTAACAAAACACAAACATAATTGTATTTCAAAGATTTGCTTAAGGTAAAAGTCATGTTTGTGTACAATTTGATAGTTAATATTTACCCAAGTATAAAGGCATCAAGCCTTTGATATGTGTATGTTTTAGTGTCATAGTACATAGCATGAGAGTATAAGCTACCCTTCAAAAATTTTAAAACAAAAATTAAACAAAGTTACAATCAAATATATATAAATTTTTTCTTTACTTATATATCCTTTCCCTCACCTCTAATTTTCAGAAGAAGCATTTACTTTTCCCTCTTTACCCTTTTAACTACTGTTTTGGGCTTTAGGATTCCTTATTATGGTTGTTGAAGAAAAGTGTTATGATACAAATTTTCATGTCCAATATTTGTTAGGCCCAATATGCAAAATAATTATAGTTGTTAGGCCCAATATAAACACATGTATGATCAAAACATATTTATAGTAACAAAACACAAACATAATTGTATTTCAAAGATTTGCTTAAGGTAAAAGTCATGTTTGTGTACAATTTGATAGTTAATATTTACCCAAGTATAAAGGCATCAAGCCTTTGATATGTGTATGTTTTAGTGTCATAGTACATAGCATGAGAGTATAAGCTACCCTTCAAAAATTGTAAAACAAAAATTAAACAAAGTTACAATCAAATATATATAAATTTTTTCTTTACTTATATATCCTTTCCCTCACCTCTAATTTTCAGAAGAAGCATTTACTTTTCCCTCTTTACCCTTTTAACTACTGTTTTGTTATTAACTTATTTCTTCAATATGTAATCAAGAATCCATGCATCTCCTTCAAGGGATGAAAGAAGTACCATCATGGACAGGAAAATGAGAAATCACTTGAGCATTGCTTGATCTATGTTGTTCTCCTTGATCAAAAGATATGAACGAAGTATTATAAAATTCAACAAATCCACTGTTTTTATGATTAACCACCTCATTAACAACTTGATCGCCGATTAGTTTTTGATCGGAAAACGATGATGAGTCTTTCATCAATGAACCACATTGTCTTGGTTGTGTTTGGTAGAAAACTTTTGAAACTACCAATTCTCCTTCTTTCTCTTCTTCATTGTTTCCAAGATGGTATTGATGCATAACCCAATTTGTTTTCTCTGGCTTTCTTTGCTTTCTGTAGTTAGTGTAAAGAACAAGGATTTTCTTATATCCTTTTAATTTGCCGATCACGTAAACCGGTCTTGTCTTACCTGTTTTATGCCACCTTGTTTCACTTCCATCTGAATCTGTGTGCACTTTTCTCCTTTTTCTTGTTCCTGTTGTGTATGCTTTTGATGGCCTGTGAAAGAAATGCCTGATCAAGCCATCTTTGCTTACACCTACAACAAAATTAAATGTGCAGCGGGTTATTGTAAGTGGCAAAGTAACCTTGTTATCAGGTCGCTCTAGTTCAGTTTTTGTCGTTTTGATTCGTATAAAAAAGTAAAATAATAATGAATGGAAAATCGATTACGAAGAATTGACCTGGCAACTTCTCTGGATGAGTGCAACAGATTCCATTCTCTCCTTCAAGAGTAGGGATGAACTCATCAATCAAAGGGTGAAGCATTTGAATATCAGACCTTACTTTCGCTTCCAAATGTTCGAGAATCTCTTGATCAGTAGGATCAAACTTCACTCCAGCAGGTAATCCAGGTAACTCATGAATTCCAGCACCCTAATATATTCATATCATTTGTTCATGAATCATTAAGCTATAATATCATAAACAGTTTAACATCACCAAAGAAAAACATAGTATGATAATATTCATTCATTCATTCATAAACGAACGAGGTATCATAAATATCAAGAATTACCTGATCTTGGCATTTGATATGATGACCACAAGTAGGACAAGTTCTGATTATGCTATCTTTGCGTCTCTCCATAAGAACACTATGATTATTGTCTTCAGGGTAACTACACTGAGTCATTTCCTTTGTTATTCTCTTCTCTACCTCTCTTATTCCATTTCTGTGTACAACAGAAATGAAACAGAAACCAAAACAGATAGACCAAGAGAGAGAGACACAGAGAGAGATCTAGAGAGAGATAGGTTGAGTTAAGAGATGGATATTTAAAGTAGTAATATAAATAATAATAAGATGAAGAAAAGAAGAAAAAACTTGTCTCTTCTAAAGGGTTGTTCCCCTCATGCCATTTCTTGTTGAGAGGTGGAAAGGAATTAAATTCTATGTTACTTTTTTAAGTAATTATATTGAAATTATAACTTATAATATTGTAGTTAGTCTTTCATAATTCCTCTTTCTAATGGAGTGAATGAGAGAGTGTGACACCTAAACATTCTAAATATAGAGACTGATATTAAAAATTAGAGACATAGAGTTAGTTGCACTGTGAGAGATAGAGATAGAGAGAGAAGAATAAAAAAATATAAAAGATTACTTGGATCTCAAGTAATGTAGTTGCTTTGTATATTTGTATGAAAACTTGTTGAGGAATAAATGTAGATTTTTTTGTCCTTTCTCAATGTGAGTAAAGTGTAGTTTTAATTAAGTTCAAAAATATAGAATAAAACAAGTTTTAAGTTGAAAAGAAATAATTAAGAAGATGGATGTATAGAATAGTTGAGTGGGATTTGAGCAACCTAATGGAGAAGGAGAGAGAGAGAGAGAGAGAGAGAGAGAACTTAGGTCTAATGTCAATCTGGAGTGTAGATAAAGTTAAAAAATATTCATACCAGAAAACTATAAGGAGAAATTTGAATTGAAGAAAAGATTTTCAACCAACCATAACAATTTCATTCCTTCACGTGGACTTCTCATGCATAGCAAGAAACCTCTCTCTCACAGAATGTAACATCACTGATAGTTGCATTGCAGCATACTATCTACTTCTATTTGGCAGAAGCAAACACCACTATCTGTGATGATATGTATTAAACTATAATGGATATATCGATATTTTAAAAATCGAAACACGGTTCAATCCGTCGAGTAGTTTAGTGGTTAGAATTTTTTCTTTTAAAAATAAATAAAAATTAATATAACGGATTTAAATATACATAGCTTGCAGTCTGATGTCTCTGCACCGCACGATAGTTACATATTTAGTGAAGGATAGACAAAATAACATATTGAAAACAGGCTTCAGTTATTTTGTGCTAAGATTCAAGTTCTATACTATTAGACAACATGGTCAAGATGAGACTTTGTAGCATTATGAATTTAGGCTAAATTAAAGTGAAAGTACTGTCCTGTCCCCACATTTATTTATGAGCTGACGGTTATTTGCATTGACCCGTTACTACATTTCTGTCCTAAATATTTTTGTTTTATTTTGTTCATTTATGACTTCTAGCTAAGGTTTGGTATGTACGGACAATATTAAATTTACATAATCTACATTGTTCATTTAATGTGTTCAGAAAGACAATTATAAATTTAATTCCCCGGAAAAAAATCATCTAGTAATCAATAAATAGAAGGGTTTTGTGCATTTTAGAGAAAATAAAATATAAACATATAGACATAAATGAAAATTAGAGTGGTGGCCAATGAAAGAACAACAGTGATGTTGGTGGTGTCAAAAATTTCTTTTGGCTTCTTCTCTTTGTCGTGTTTTTCTGTCTATTTTGAATAATTTATTTATTTATGGTTATGATGTAGATTAATTTACTTATGCTTATTATGTAATTCATGATCACTTTATTATCAAGTGTTTTACGTAATTTAATTTTGTTATCAAGTTCCAAAATAATTCTCAATCAAATCTCTAACTTATCACCTAAGTGAAATTTGTTGAGAATAATATATTCAAGTGCGAGTTGAAGTTTCACATTGGTTATAAATATGGAGAGAGTTGAACATTTATAAGTGGGAGAACCATACACTTATCATCTTAAAGTTTTGAATGAATATATGGTGTTTCTCACACTTGTGTTGCTTTTGACCCAATGTTCAATGCTTCCTAGTGTAAAACTCCCCAACAAATGATATCATGAGCCTTTGATTCGAGTAAAGGGACCGATCGGCTTACATGTATTGTAATACTCATGAAATGGTGTCCTGTTGAAATCGAAATGCCCGATATCAAAATATCCAAAAAAGAGTTTGAGAATAATATAAGTGTGAGTGTGAGTTGGAGTTCCATTAATAACTAGACGATTTTTGTTACATTTACTAAATTTCTATCAAGTATTTTGAAAGATGTTAAGCGGTTAGATTTACGCGATTTTAGATCAATAATTTTATGAGATTTGTTAAATTAGTTCGATTTTACTTTTTTATGAGGGAAAAATAATGGATACATGCAAACCATTTAAAAAACATTAGATTTTAAAATATGTTCCCATTCGATGGACAAGTTATAATTCGTCCGACAAATTAAAATTTTTAGTTTTTTGCGCTAATTTATTATTTAAAGATTCAGGTTAACTTGATCCTCAAGCTAATGCCAAAATTATAAAAGTCCAAAAATATCTAATATAATCTTTTTAAATCAAATCTGATCTTTCTAAAATAATGAATTACATATTTAACACACCACATAATTTATTGTGTCTAAACTATCTACATTCATCATAGATCTTAACTTCTTGAACACTTCGACTTGCACTCTCTTTGTCATGATGTCTGCAATCTGATTCTCAGTTCTGCAATGTTCTAAGTTCATCTTCTCTTCTGCTACATGCTCTCGAAGATAATGAAACCTCATTTCGATGTGCTTGCTTCGATCGTGTGCTATTGGATTCTTTGCCAAGTTGATAGTTGACGTGTTTTCGATCTTCATGGTAATTGCTCCATGACTTTTCGTTGTGATCTCTTTGACCAGGTTCACCATCCAGGTTGCTTGACATGCACAAATAGAAGAAGTTATACATTCTGCTTCGCATGACGGCAATGTCACTACTGACTCCTTTCTCAAACTTCAAGCAACTGGTGCACCACCTAAAATGAAGACATAACCAATTGTATATTTTCTATCCTCAACATCACTACACCAACTAGAGTCGGCGTATTCCACTAACTTGCATTCTTTTTCTTCATCAGCTGTAGGAAATAAAATGTCATAGTCGAGAGTCCCTTTCAGATACCTCAGTATCCTCTTCGTTGCTGCTAGGTGTGATACATTTGCCTTCTGTATGAATCTACTTACCATACCCACACTGTATGCTAAGTCAGGCCTTGTATGACAAAGGTATCAAAGTGACCTAATAAGTCTTTTGTAATGGGTTGGGTCGAAATCATCTTCATCTAAATGCTTCAACAGTTGTAATCTGATCTCAGTTGGAGTCGAAATTGGGTTGCAATCTTAAATCTCAAATCTTGAAATTGGGAAATCACTAGAAGTGTGTATGAAGATTGGCCAAGAAAAAGTTTGCTCCTTACTACTATCTTAAGTGTGAAGTATGTCATTCTTAAGATAATTGGAGTCTTCAACTAGGCTCCCACTAATCATAGATCAAGTATCACCCCTTCTTTTGCTAGATTGGTATATCAAATAGGAACTAGAGTAGACTTCAATTTTGGCGAGTATGATTTTGAAAAAGTATTAAAGTAAATTGAGTCTTACACTATGAGGTTACTCATATATTTTACATCCCTTATTTTTGGTATTCTGATCAATCAAAATCTTCCTAAAGTTAAACATTTTGATTTGACTACAGAGGGAAATCTACCAGAGGTTCCTCCCATGTTTGGTACAATTAGAGATCATGTTTTGTTGGAGTTAATGCAGGTTTCCAAGAGCTTGCAGGATGTGATTCTTACCTCCATTACAAGAAAGAACAAGGTGGATTACTTAATCAAAACGATGAGTCTAAAAGTGGCTAAGACGTCTACTTCCCATTCAGGAGGACAATATGGAGGGAATGATGCAGGCAATAATTGAGAGAAGGATGACAATGAATTTAACATTGAATTTGGTGGAAGTGAATAAGATTTTGAATCTCTCTCATCTGGTGAATTAGAGGATTGAAGTTTTTTTAGTGAATTTTTTTTCTGTTTTCTAATGTTGGTGTTATGTGTCCTTATGTGGGTTATTCTCCTATAATGTTAATTTCCCTTTGGGTAGGATAATGGCTCCAATTACCCCTTAATTGGGTTGGTTCCATTTTAATTTTTTTTGGTTTTTTGTTGTGTTTTCTCTATGGATGGTCCCATTTTGTACACTTCCTGAGTTATTTTCTCAATGGATGGTGACTAGTTGTTTTGATACCCCTTGCCCGTTTTGATGTAAAATGGGGGAGAACAGTTTATGAATTATGGATGAGGGCAGTATATTAATGATGTGATTTAGCTTTATTAGCTTTATGCAAGACAAGTTATGCAAATGCAAGCAATTTTCTAGAGACTAAAAAATAATTAGTTAGTATGCATCTACATGTTATGTTTATTTTCACTACTCTCTTATAATATTTATGTCATATCATGAATTTTGTCCTTAGTATTATGTTGTACATACTGCATGTTGTATTTACCTAAAAATTGACCAAAATGGGAGATTGTTGTTAGATCTTATTGGCGTTATTTTAATAGGAAACAAGTGAAGTAAGATGTCATGATACTATGTGAGACATTTTGTCTCTATGAGCTTAAACTAGAAGGTAACATGTGGAGCGAGATGTTCCACAGATTGTGAGACATTATGTCTTATTCAGAAGTCAGTCTACGTTGAGTAAATATCGTGTTTGTTGAAATTTTGTTTTCATTCTTGTTCAATCTTATTTAATTGATTTATTCACTTTATGAATAAGGAACATTTTCTCAAAAGAGTAATTTACAAAAATTAAAGAGAACAAATTTGATTTTTGAAGATGTAATCAAATTAAAGATTGTAAATCATGTTAATGAAGAATAATTTTTGCGCCTTTGGATTTGCTTCAGTTGCACGTAATGATACAAACCCTAATGGGCCTTGCAACTGAATTATGTTACTATTTAAGGAGGAGTTCTCCATGTAAAGACTCGGA